CTGCAACACTCTTGACATCAGGGATTCCTGCTGCAGCTTCAGTTTGTGGTTGTGAAAGTTGTCGTCCAACTCAATATACATTTTTGCCACATAGATGAGCAGTTTGAAAACATCTCACACATGCACATAAAAAGAATAAAGCTACGACTCCACATCAAACCAAACTGTGGTGTGTTAGAGGTGCCCAGGAAGTGAGTATGACCTGGTATTTTTTGGTAACTCCTGCACCTGCACCCTGTTGTGTTTGGCTGAGTGGGCCTGGGACCGAGCCTGACTTACTGCTTTCTAGACACATTCACAGCATTCACTCATGTGGACTTTGGCATCAATACAAGAGGGAGGGATGAAAAAGGGAGAGGAGAGGGGGAGCGAGACAGACACCTAGAGGCCTAGACGTCCTTTTAATATTTTCTCATAAACAAGGTTATGTCTTGACTGCTTTAAATTAATCTTCCCTCTCTTTGTTGAGAAGAACTGGAAGTCAGAGCATTTAAAAGACACTATCACACGGCTGAGAAAATGATGTTACCCATATGTCTGTCCCTTGCTTTCCAACCGTTTTAATTTCAAGAGCATTATCTGGACATTTAAGAGCCTTTCTGAACAAGGCACCAACATATGTACACTATTTTTTCACAAAAAAATAGTTTTGCACACACAGGCCCGTATGTGTTGTAATCCCTTGAGCACCGGACACAGTATGTTGGCTTCAAGGACATGTGGTGTTGTTTTGGGACAAACACGTACTGCTGATTAACACAGACTTATAAACAGCATGTCGTGTCAAGGACATGAGATGCTAAGATTTTGATGAAATATAAAATAATACTAAGTAAGCTACATTAAACTAAAATGCCAAGAGATACAGGCATGTGAAACGTAACATAGAGCCCTGTTTAGTGTTTGTATTTTAGTATAAACAGACAAATGGGTATTTATCTTTATCTTGCCAAAGGACAGCTCGGAATGCGGACTGAAGGAGCCAAGGATCAAACTACCGGTTAGGTTCATGGACTCCTGAGCCACAGCCACCCACAAGAAACGTTCCAAGAAACTCTGACCCAGTACATTGTATATATAGAAATAAGAACACAATTATGTTGTGTTCATGGAACTGCCACAAACTGCAGAACACAATTCTTTATATATTAATATCCTGGTGCCATAAAATGAGAAGACAGATTATCCCACTAATTAGACAGATGGGATTATTTGGTGAGGACAATGCAGCATTAGTTATGTTATTAACCATGGCTAGTTTGTTAATGTCTAAAACAGAGTGTAATCTAGTTGCGTTAATTTTTTAAAATCCAACTTGTCTGGCCTTTGTGTGGAACTACTGTTAATGTAGTTTGGTTAAACAACACATTTAAAAATAAAACTTTATGTGCACATAATAACTCAGAGCTCAGAGTCCCAGAACCCCTAAAGTATGGTAACAAGCAAACTAGATTTTTTTAGTAGATGATAATGATTGTACTGAATCAGCTCTCTCTGTGTGGTTTTGTTTCCATGCTGTCTGCCTCTGTTCTGCATCTTTGACGTTCCTGTGTTGCTGAGCACATGGTCTTTGGGAGCTGACAGAGTCGTCTGCTGACTCAGGCACTTGTGTGAGGTCACTGGTTGAGAAGCCTCCTTCATGCTGCTGCGGGGTGCTCGCCCAACAATCATGAGTAATGAACAGAAAATGTTGATGTACCTTGAAGTTTAATTGTCCCCAATCATGCAGAGGGTGCAGTGTGAAGCTTATCATTGAATTGCATCACCCCACATTCTTGTTATATGTGCCTTTCTGTGTCAAAGGGCTCTTTCTGAGATTTTCATTATCACGTCAACGCTGCGCTGCTTTTGTTCTGGTTGAATTGCTTCTATGACCCTTCACTTCATAAAGCTTTCTGTTTATGTAATTTAAGATCCTGAGATAAACAGCCCTGATTCCAATACCACTGCTCAGACTCACTGCCTCAGTGTGTTTCACACAGCAGATGCAGCGTCCGTCTGTTCCTTCTCTGGACTCACATTATGTATTAGGACATTAGCTCAACACAGACAGGCCTCATTACCAGGGACTACACAAGATAAGAGTGATTTACATTCAAAACAGAAAATAATTAACATGCCATCCTGAAAATAAATAACAGCATCTCAGTAAATCCAGCCCTGGTGTACTCTGCTGCTATCAGGGACACTCTGCTGCCCAAGGGTATTACAATTTGCTTTCCCTCTTGCTGCTTTCAGACATGCACTGAAGTCTGGACATTTTCCTGCCACCTGGTAAAATATCACCAAAATGTCAGAGAAAGCATGTGTGAAAATATAGCAGGGAAACAAACAGCGAGTAAGCGAGTATATTGAGGATGTCTCTAACATGGGACAGATGCAAACTTGAATCAAAAAGATTACAAATCTCTCAGGATGAAAAATGGGTGTCATATCAACCTGATTATGCCATCTACATTATATCTTACAGATTTTCATAGGAGATAGATACAGTCATGTAACTGAACTGCAAAAGACAAGACGATGTGACTGTAGGTGCGACCGTGGAGGAGTGATCTGGCTAAACTAAAATCAAAAAGCTTGTGTGGGCTTACATTCAGAAACATCCTGGCAACTCGAGAACACAGAACATTTCATCTCCATGGAAATGAGCATGAATATTAAAATCACATCTCTTAACCTTTGTGGGCTGAGACATTTGCATATTAGTTCGGTTGTGGGTTCATCTCCAGAGTTTACCCGAGGCGAGGTTTACAGTAAGAGGAGGGAAGATCCTGAGGGATGTTTTTCAGGATTCTTTTTAAAAGAGGGAAAAGGCTGTTTATCCCTCCTCTCAAGGTTCAGCGTTTGGGTAAATTGTACTGATTCACAAAAGACAAAACCACTATAGATGCTATAGATCCATTTAGATGGCTGTAAAAGCTCACCCACAAGCCTGACCTGTTAAGAATGAGGTCATGGTTAAAGGGCAAAGGTGATTGATGTCCACTTTATCACCAATTTGTTCCCCCAAAACATTATCTGGCTATTTTCACGGTCCATTAAATCAATTCATCGTTAAACCACAGAGCAATAACAACCTGTTTCTGACTACTGTTTCACTTTGAGTTGATTGACTCACATTCAGACAGTGAGCTCGTATATCAGCAGAGGACAAAGTCAGGAAAACTGTAGGTAACAAACGAAGCGTAACTGAAGCATTCCGCTATTATCTCAGAGTGTGACAGGACAGTCTGTCCAGTAACTCACTGATTAATCTACTACAAATGATCATTATTCAGGACGTTATAATGTTAGATCCCAGAGGCTGTAACTATAAGAGCAAACACTGCACCTTCAGATGCTGAAGCATATTTTTTAATCGCCAAATTTTGAGATCAAATTGCTTTGTAAGTGGGCACTCTAGCAGCGTTAAACTTGCTTGTGACCTTTTGTCAGATGAACAACTTAAGTGATTGTGTTTCAAGTCAAAGCTTGTCTAGCTCCAGGTAACACATTCCTTTTCTTACACACATTAAAGCAGATCGACAGTCTACTGTCAGTGTGCCGAGTGTTAATGAATAGTTAGATCATTTCAAATAATTACAAGAGAGTTTCATACGTGACAACACGTCTAGGAATGAATATCTATGAGGTAATTCCATGTCAGATCATCACACTTATGGACCACACTGTCACAGATCTTACTGAAATTTGATTTTGTCAAATTACAAACATGTGTAAGCAGAATAGATTATGTCTTTGATCGTAATTAAGGCAGATTTAAAAAAAGTTCTAACTTTTGGTGTTGGCCCTCTGTGACTTGACTGGTCAAATGTCACAGAGGAAATGATTCTCATATCTTTTTTAAGCTTTTTTCCAGCTATTTAACCTAAACGTATGTTATCCTCTATAACAAATAACAGCATTGCAAGTGATTATATCAGTTTAAGTCGAATTCCCCCCCAAAAAATAGATTCACATTTTTTTACGGAAGTTAAATTACGAGGTCATCAAGCCCTGAAGATAACAGAACCTTAATTAGGATCTGAAACACCAATGTCAGCTTCATCTGATCAAATCAGCAAGGCAATTTTCCTTTAGATCTGTGAAGTTGTGGACCAAAAGTGTAATGATTTGACACAGAATGACCCCAAACAGAACCAGTTACAATTCTCTATTATCTTTTACTATTTTCTTTACTTTCCATTATCTTTACAGTCATAACGTCTTGTCCCAGCACTGCATATAAATTGAAGTTTTAACGAGCTGTAGACAGCTCAGGGGCTGTGTTTCAGTTCCACTCTCACTGCCACGGGACTATCTGCCTTGTATCTGGAGCTGAGCATAACAGTAAAAAAAATAGGACAAACTCCACTGATTGGAGAAGTGCGCCGACACTTCCACTTTTTCTCTTTTTAGCATTTGTCATGCTCTACTTATATGCGCCACATTAACATGGAAGCTGTCTGTGTCTTTTTTGTTCAACAGAAAGATCGTGATAAAATTCTACTGTCAGTGTTTGATTACTGAAGCATCTTTGAAAGTCTACATCCAGTGAATCAAAGTGGTAACAAGACAGTAAGTGGAGAGGTTACAGTTACAGGGAGTAGAAAGAAAACCAAGTAGGTTTAGGATGGGAGACAAGACGTGAATAACAGGAAAGACCCAACATTGTTAGCTTGGTCTGTCAAAGCTGTAAGACCTGCATCCAAAAGACCCCTATATGCAGGTGCTTTCTTTTCAACTGTGTCAAGACCGCACGGAGGGCTGCATGTATGACTGTGGACCAAATTCACTTTTCCCACCAACAACGTTATTCTCTGTGTGAAACACACAGACAATGAAACTTTCACTTGAAATATGGCCCAAAAAAATCTGTCTTCAAACCTAACAGTTCTCATCAATTATGCTCTTATCTACTGAACAGTCTATGAAAAAAAGACTGTCAGAGCTAGATGTGAGGTGAACTTTGGCATTCATCAGACTACAAATATAAGAGGAGATGGTGGCGTACTTACCGCCACAGCTATCATGGAGTCGTCTGGTTTCCATTCTGCCTTCTGGTAGAAGCCAAATTGGGCGGCTGCCTTTGCAGACTCGATATAGCTGACTATCAGAACACTGGGCTGAGGAACAAATGGGAAAGAAAATTAATATTTAAAAAATGCTGATTGGTCTCAAACATCAAAATAGCATATATAACAACACCGACATTACAATCTACTGAATATTGTCAAATGAAAATATATTATGCAAGTTTTAAAGTAAACATCATCATACTGCTGTAATTTATCATTTGTATAAAGGTGAATCTACATCTTCATTGTTCATTTAAGCTTATTTGAGCTCAACTCAAATAATAAAACAAAACAAATTGTTCTTTGACTAAAAAAAAACAACACCACACCAGTATTCAGCTGAATCGTTATTTAAAACATGCAGGAAGAGCGAGCAGCAGTAACAGAAGGCATGATAACATTTACAGCGTTGATTGACAGTGATATTTAGCACTGCTGTGCCAGAGAAGGTTTTAATGCCACTCATTAAACTGCTTGAATGTTGCTGGCAAAGAAACAATGCTGCATAAATTATGTCCCAAAAAAATGGTATGTCTATGATACCTGGCGTCTGATAAACTGCTCATTTCTACCTGATTGTCGTTCATTTATTTTGAAAAATAGGCCTCTGTTAATAAACCTGTGTGCAACACAGACATACAGATGAGCAGAAGCATAGACTTTGCCTAAAGCTGTTGCCCTTAATTTGCCTCAACCCCTTAATCACTCAGGCAGATATTTGTCTAGATCACAGAACAACAATAACAACCAGTTCATTCCAATTTTCCTCTAGTTTAAAGCTGAATTTTAACCATTTAGTCAGACATGTTAAACTGTTTACGACAAACAATATTCATTCAGATTAGAAAGTGCAAATAAGACACTGTAGCAAAGTAATTGGGATCCTGTTCGTTTTCAAGTAAAGTAGCTAATTCTGTTTGCAGTGAGACAAATAACTGTCCTTGACATTACAGGGAAAACCAGGACACGGTTAACTGAATAGCTTCAATCAGGAAACAGGGGCAGGGAAATATCTCACGTAATGCAACGTTAGACCTTGTACCCAGTCACTGTAATGAGAGAGCAGGTTTTAAGTATTTTCCATCCTGTGTCCTTCTCGTAGAATTAAAACTTAATAAAGCCACTGATACCTGCACCGGTGAAGCCTGCTCACTAATTCAAGGTGCTTTGTAACCTTAATTAACCTTAATTTAACTATAATAAATAGACATAATTTTCTGGAGTTTGGCAGTAAGTTCATCACCTCGCATTTTCAAAGTGGCTCTTTTCAGACTTTCAATGCTTAAACAACACACTCCACTTCTGCATAGACATCCTAAGCAGCCCCCCCCCCCCACCCTGCAATATAGCTTTGATGAGGTGAAAGAACACAACAGCTACAAGGCTACGCTACTGTGCTACAAGGATTAGTAATAATGCCTTGACTAAACTAGCTGGGCTCGAGCTGCACTGTCCAAGGCTGAGGATAGATGGGATTAAAGAGAATAGACCTGGTGGCAAAATGATGGCTGAGAGCAGCAGGGGGGAGCTGGGAGGGGAAACAGCAGATACAATCACCTACATCCAACACATATGCTGACCATGTCTTTGTTAGGAGAAAAACATAGAAATGTAATATTTGCTTCTTGTAGTTTTTCTGAGAAGAATGAATACATAAGAAATTGATGATTTGTTGGATGGTATAACAACCGCGCTGCCTCTGTGGGTTTTGTATATACTGATATACAACCACATTTCAATAAAAACAAATCACAAATATGAACGATGGCTGGTAGTCCGACTACCTCCTGACAGGGAATGTATGCCCATGGCTATTGGGGGGGGGCAGGTTAAGATCCAGTCTTCACTGTACAGTCAGGTATAGTTGTGCTGAAGTGTAATCTGTGCAGAGCTGCTGATATTAGAAAAAATTCTGCTGTGCTTACAGCAAATAGTCCTCCCATCCTCAGGAGACAGTCGAAATGCTTGCCAAGTTAGAAGTCCCAGAGTAAGGGAGTCCACACTTGGTGTAGTTGTTATCAAGAAACGGGCAATTACTCAACCGATGGTGGAATGAAACATACATTTAAAACAAAGGATGGCAGAAGGGAGAACCAGAGACGGGAACAGTTCACATCATTTTTGCACTCCTTCAGGAAGAAGAAGAATGACACAATTTATTTTATCGGACCCATAGATCAGTCTTATTGTCAAGGTACCCTATTGGACTAATATCCAATACAAGTGAGGGATTGGTGCATCCCTAGGAAATACATAGGTTCAGAAAACTTAGTAAACAAACCCTGCTATTACATGCCTGTGTGCAGAGTTGGGATTGATGGTGAACGGAAATATCAAGATGGATACACCGTGTGTGAAAGGTGTTTGTCGAGAGGAGGACGTAGCTATAATTGAAATTCCTGAGATGACCTTTATCCCCCAGACGTCTTATTGATACTTGCAGGCAGGCAATGTTCTTAAGACAGAGAGGAAACAGAACATGCTCACATCCTGTGTGGGCCTCAGGAAGTAACCAGTGACCCCGATCCATTGTTGCTACAACTCAACAATATATAAACAGTGTGGAACGCAGACAGCATTGAACCGGCCAATCTCCATATCAACACAGGAAAACCTTATGTATTCAAACACATGAGGGCAGGATATGAATGCAGACAATCATCTGTGGTACCTGCTATAATCTCGCTAACTGCCAACTGAAATTTGAATCCTTTCATTTTGCCCGAAATTAATTATATTTCAAACGAGAGAAGTAGTCAGTGGAGCACATACCATCGCCAAGCCCCAAGAGTCTCATTATTGCCCAGATTTAAATTCACTAGATCAAGATTTTTAATTGGATCCGCACCCAATCAGTAATTCCTGCTAACACAGACGAAAACATAACCTCAGAGCAAAGGTAAATATTTCCATCTCTTTGAAAAAAACACTGGCTTACAGTATTGTTTAAGTGATGACACAATTATTCAGGTTTTAGCTATTATCAGTGAGAAGGTTATGTCATCATGACCTAACATCACAGGTCCCTTAGCTCTACATCAGCACGTGTCATACAGGAATCAATTCAACCAGCTGTTGTGATAACGCTTGAGAGTTGTCAAGATATAATCAAGACAGTGGTTTTAACACTGGAAGCTTTTGGTGGAAATAGTCAGATCAAATCCTTCATTACTTAATCCCACTGATGAAGACCAAGGCTCAAGCTTCAGAGCGTTTTGATGAGAAGACTTAACACTGCGGGTCTTTTGGAGAAAAAACACTTTCTAACTGAGTGATAAAATGATCCTTCTGTGTAATGATGCCGTGGAGAAAAACGTAAATAAAAGAATCCACTGCTGTGCTGACTTGATTGTTGACATGAATCCTGCTGCTCACAGAAGATAACACAACATGCAACTAGTGAGTATTTGTTTTAAACATCACCAGCAACAATAACACGATGATTGAAATGCATCCACTTCCCCTGATGGTGGTATTAATCAGGTGAACTTCATCTTGGGGATGAAATGCCTCCGCACCTGGGTCATGAATGAGTGGGGTGGATACATTTGAGGAATGCCACTCAGAATGAATGTGCTGCTGCGTCTGTCACAGTCACACGTATACGGATGTGCGTAACAAAGTCACCTGTCACCTGTGTAGTAGGTGTGTAGACGGCCACGTTTGCCAGCACGTCATTATTCATAGCTCCTGGTTAGACCTCAATGAAAACACTAACTGTTGCTCTCTGCGATGTTGGGACAAATCGGCCAAATTCCCACGCGAGTAAAGCTCAGAAGATGGAATAACGACAGCAGTAGTTTGTGGACCAGTTTTTAAAAACACCACCATCGTCACTGCTGAAGTGAAAGTAGCGATGCATGTGTTGTTGTTGTTGTGCGGACAGCTGAGTCCACTCACCCGACTGAACCAGACGCTGAGCTGCGTCTCCGACAACACGGCGAAGTAGAACCTCTGGGAGCTGGGCTGGATGTGGAAGGGCTCCTCTTCGCTCCGCAGCGGGCAGAGCAGCCTCCGGGGCCAGCCGGTGAGAAAATACATGACGGCGGTCAAATCTGTGCCTCGACACCGCTAAACGGTGTCGCAGCAGTGTCGGAGCCCTCTGGTTCCCCCCTCCACCTGAGGTATGTTCAACCCGAGTGACGCATGGGCGGCTGTTCTCGTAAAAAAAATTAAAAAACTTTGAAGAGCTACAGGCGGCCCCGGTGTTTACACCCGGCCGGGCTCTCGATCCATCGATGCGCCAGAGAAGGAGCCGAGTAGCGGCTGCAGCCACACAGCTAGCCCCCAGCTAGCGCTGGCTCTCCAACTTGAAGCTAACGAGCTTGACCGAGGCGACTGCAGAGGAAACCGAAAACAAAAGCGAGCAGGCCCGCGGCGACACCACACGGAGAGCTGCGGCCGACGAACGGGTCGATGAACCGTCGCTCCCGCTGCCGTTTCAGTCCTTGCGGTGACGGGACCTACGGTGTTTGGTAACGGCAAAGCGTCTGGTTACAACTCCCCGATGCTCCGCCGTCGCCATCTTTACCAGGGTCCGTGAGAGTCGGCGCTGATTGGCTGAGCGGAGACGCTTGCGTCCTGTTGACATCTGACGTCATACCTCCGTTATGCGAGAGCGCTGCTGCGTAGAAGCCAACGTGACTCGACGCTGACACCTAGTGGTGTAACAATGACATGCCCCCAAACCCTGCAACAAGAAAAACACACTTTCAATCTCACGCTATTACTTCTACTACTACAACTACTACTACTACTGCTGCTACTACTACTACTACTACTAATAATAATAATAATAATATAGAATAATTATGTATCTCATATATCTCAAATCTCAAGTTCAGGAACAGATCAGGTATTCAAATGCTTATACAGTTTGCAACATGGCAAATGTTTTATATGGAAAATATAGACATGATCAAGTTTTAATCAACATTTTAAAATACACATAATCTGGCTACATAGCAGAAACTTTGTCTAATTACATTAAGTTCAGATGAGGCCATGGTTATGAGAACTAGACCAGAACAGGACAGTGATGAAGAATCCCACGTGTTTGTGTGAGCACTGCTAGAAGGAGATGTTAGAACATGCTCTCATCCACTTTGTAAAAAATCCAATGCAGCAAATGCTTGGCACATATAACTGGGAAATGTTGCATGCTATATACTATATATCAATAGGTGGCAGTAGAGCGCGTATACTTGTTTGGCAGAGAGGGGAGGAAGACAAAGAAGAAGAAGTGGACCCAAAGTAAGCAGCATGGCGGCAGACATGAGATTACCAGAGATTCGGAAACCAGTGGCACTTTCCACTTTCGACCGAAAGGATCTGGTGGTTCCCGGCGATGTGATCACTTCAGACACCGGTTTCATGAGGTACGTACCGGAGAGAGCACCGGGGATGTGCCGCTGTCTGCTTGTGTCTATGGTTCCTACACGATGTTGACATGGAGGGAAATCAAAGTGAATAGCTTGACGCTGTTTGGTTCATAACCCTCATGCTTGTAAATATGAAACAAGTTATAAGAGACAGCTCATAACAACATTAATATTTAAAATTGAAACCCAGGCTGCTCCAGTTTTACACGTTTAAAAATATGCTCCTTCTATAGTTACACAGGCTCAGTTAGTGACCAGTTTCTTTATCACATATTTGCTTGGTTAGATTTTAGTATTAATGTTTCTATATTCGTTTTATCCCCAGGGGTCATGGTACCTATGTTGATGATGACAAGCTGACGGCTTCAGTCGCTGGAGAAGTGCAGAGAGTTGACAAGCTGATCTGTGTCAGACCACTGAAGACCAGGTAAGTGATTCAATCACTTTATGAGGATGAACAAACTATAGGAAGTAAAATGACAGGTTTGAAATTTAACTGGTTCCTTTGCGGCTGCTTTTGCACAATATAAGTGATTGTTCTTGTCTTTTGTTGGATTGAATTGCAGGTTCAACGGTGAAGTTGGAGACGTGGTGGTTGGGAGAATTACAGAGGTAATCCAATCTCTCTTTGCCTTTTCTCCTATGTGCTGTGTGACATTTCCAACATGTCATTTTGGTCAATAAGACTTTTTTTGTAATATGTCTAGGTGCAACAGAAACGCTGGAAGGTGGAGACCAACTCTCGGCTGGACTCTGTCCTCTTGTTGTCCTCTGTCAATCTGCCTGGAGGAGAGCTGGTGAGATGCTAAAAGAAGTGATTTACTTGGAGAAGTAGTCTTTGTATTACACTTTAAGTTGAATTATCCTGGAGGAAAAGGGAAATGGGTCTGAAACCAACTTTCATTTATTGATCACATGATTCATTTGATTTTCTCTTTTAGAGGAGAAGATCAGCAGAAGATGAGCTCACCATGAGAGAATACCTTCAGGAGGGCGATCTCATCAGTGTAAGTAACAATTTACTATAATCTTAAATTTTCCGATCCATTACCTAATGTTTTTTTATCCATAATGACTTTATTTCTTTTTGTCCTGCGCTGTTAGGCGGAGGTGCAGTCTGTCTTCGCAGATGGAGCTTTATCGCTTCACACCCGTAGTTTAAAGTACGGAAAAGTAAGTGGCGCTTATGTACACAATGATGTTTGCGTATTCAACAAAGTAATAATTTAGTCTAAGAAATGTCTTTGCTAATATCCTGCCTTTATTTTCTCACTTAGTTGGGTCAAGGGGTGGTGGTTCAGCTTTCTCCTTCTCTTATCAAGAGGCAGAAGTCACATTTTCACAACCTGCCGTGTGGCGCATCCATCATTCTCGGGAATAACGGTTATGTGTGGTTGTATCCAACACCAGCAAACCAGGAGGACGAGGCTGGGGGCTTCTACACCAGTTTGGAGGTGGGTGTGAAATTAACAAAGACCGGTATGTAATAGTTTCAGTCGATGTTTGATTCATGAATGGAGAAATGTATCTGTGCATAGCTGCAACACTTGGTTTGTATACATTTTAAATCAGAGTATCCTCATGGGTATTTTTCTGTTCATTTTGATCATATTTTTTGTGCATCTCCTTCCTCTTTCCTTCCAGCCCGTGAGCCTGTCGGATCGAGAGGTGATTTCACGGTTGAGGAACTGCCTCTTAGCGTTGGCTGCACACAAGGTCCTTTTGTTTGACACCAGTGTTCTCTACTGCTATGAATCTTCGCTTCAACACCAGGTAGGAGGCCCTGAAATGTCAGTGAATTCAGTTTGTAACTGTATACAGTTGTTCTTGAATTACACCATCTGCCTAACAAATAATAATAAGTAATATAATGGCTTTGGAAAGATATTGCAATAAACTGTTGACTTTTCTGTGATGTATTTTGCCATCTAGTGGCCATATTTGAAAGCCACAGTTCCTGGGCAAAACAATTGACTCTGCTGTTCTAACAGTGGAACAGACATGGTGGATTTCATTGCTCTTTTGGGTGGAGAACTGATCACTGAACAGCGATGCTTCTCATAAATGTTCCACTTATGTGATATGACATCAGCTCATTCGCTATATCCATGTTGTTGTTTACTGTCAATACTAAGAATGCATTATGCATCATTCTGCTTTTGTGCCTTATGTGAGGAATTTGCGTCTTAATCTTTGTAGATAAAACCTTATGTATGTAAAAATCGCTCAGCAGAATCCGCCATATTTAGTTGTGACTGATGTTTTTCAGTGCAGCTGATCTACAATTTTCCCTTTGACGCTCTCTGCAGGTCAAGGACGTCTTGAAACCAGAAGTGATGGAGGAGATTGTAATGTTGACGCAACAAAAGCTGTTGGATCAGGAAGGTTAGAGAACAACTAACTGTGACCTTGACACAAGATCAAGACCATATCAAGCATCTACACATCAAGGACCAACCACCCATATGAAGACTGGTCATTTTTCACAGAATCCTCAGTATTGTGACAGCCTAATGTACAGTTGAACAATCCTAAGTCTATTTTAAGATAATAAACTGCAGACCGTTGTTGGATTGCTAATGAAAGAGAGGAGTACCTTGAAAAATTTCCTAACATTCAAAAATCACTCAAGCAGCTTTTTGACGTTTACACAGAAATAGTGGAACACTTTTGCTAATGTTTGAGATTGTACAAAAAAACTGTTGTATGCAATAAATGTTCTATAATTTTCAGTTTGTCTCAGTTGGTCTGTCTTGGGTTTGCTCTGGGTACTCTGGCTTCCACCCACTGCCCAAAGATATGCAGATATGGGTTAGGTTAATTCAAGAGATTTAATACTTTATCTCCACACAGCTCAGTTGTTGGAATTTTCCCCATAAAAGCAGAACATACATATGTGGATAAAATGAAAATGAGTAAAAACTAGTGCAAATAGAATAGAATGTCCGATGCATAAAAATACACTAAGATACAATAAGACTCAAAATGTTCGGCAAGTGTGAGTGTGACAGGTTGTACCCCCACCTGTCACCCAAAGTCAGCTGGGATTGCCCCCCCCCCTCCCCCCACTGTGAACCCTCAAAGGTTGCACATAATACAACCAGTGCACAACATATATATTTAGTATATGTAACTATCATATTATAAAGTTACACTGTCATCATTAAAGTGAAATGAAAATATGTAGTTTTAAATACTTAAAAGGTGATTTTAACTTTGGATTGCACAGCTAAAAGGGGAACAACTGTCATTTAACAGTGAGTAAAGTTTATTAATTTAAAAAAGAAACACAATACCCCCAGTGCACCTTCACTTGTGACCTCTGACCTCTGACCCCCCCAGCATAATAAAACCTGGAGACTCGTCTCGTGCACTGGTGCTAGCCCACGCACGCAGGTGACGTCACACGTGGCCCCACCCACATATTTCTGTAAACCACCTTGCATATGAAGTATGGCGGCCTCAGCCACACAGACACCACTCGGCCAAAGTTTGTCACTCACACTTCCACGCGAGAGCAATGAATAAGTCCGCGGACCGAGGGCTCGGCAACGAAGAGCTCGGCGACCGTCAACAGAGGGAAGGAGCCGCGGGAAGCGACGTCGCTGTGTCGCCGGATGAGTTTCCCCGATCTCCCTTCGCCTCCCTGATTGAAGTGCCTTCAGTCCGGGTACCACAGGGGAAGAAGCTCCGCAAGACGAGGAGAGAGGACACGGAAGTCTGGAACTGACTCATTTACGAGGCTTTGGAGGACCCCGCTGCAAAACGTGTCTAACCGCGGTGGTTGGAAATGTTCCTGTGAGACATTAAAGTGCACTTGTCCGACTTTTTAAAACCCAGCGTGTTCCCCGGCCGGAGCCAACTGTTGACTGCTCGGTGTGCATTTAACGCTCCGGCGCTGCTAACGTGAGTTAGCCTCCATGGCTACCTTCAACACTAGCTTGAGGTCGCCAGCTAACCAGCAACATACATGTTTCTCTGGACGTGTAAGTTCGTGCTCACACTTTTCTCTTCCCCTGAAGTTTGTAACTAGCATTCGAGTTTTTATTAATTGGTCAACAAGGCTGTTTTTCACTTCAGTGCTTACTACTCATGATTTAATGTTTTCTGACATTGCTTTTGTAATAAAGTAAGTTGCCCAGGGACAATAGGGTCAAGGCTAACAATAGTTAACGCTCTGCTGCCTTTCACTGACCTTCTTTTCCTCCATTCTTTGCATCCAGCAACGTCTTCTGGATATCAGTGTGACCTGCATCACACCCAGGGTCACCAACGTTAGCTTGAGGTTGATTAACATTATAAAGATTGAATTCAGTGGGTATGCATCTTAAATGTGAGAGGGGAGTGGGGTTTTATGTCTCTAAAAGACCACTTTCCCACCCAACTGAATGGGAAGATGCTTCTTGCAGTGTCCTACTGACAATACTGAAGTAGGACATTTAAAAAAATCAATACTCTGCAGGTTAAGCATGATATGAGTTATTTTGCACAGAAACCCATGTGACTAATTGCTGGGATTAGTTGTCTGTGTGCTTATTTCATCTTGCACATGTTTAATTCACCTCAAATTCATCGTGAGGGTTGTTTGCCGGTTAAATGGAAGTCAGAATCACATTTTAAAGCATTTGAAAATATCACAGTACTCTTGAAGTAATGAAATCCTCTCTCTTTTTTTCCCTCTAGATTCCCATGAAAAGTCTTCGTTTGACACATGAAGCACTTGGGCTCGATTAATGCATGATAAACAGAGACGTACTGGAGTAGTACGGATCTGCGTAGGTGACCCACATCACCCACACTACAGGAGAAGACAGACTGAGTCAGGGAAAGGGGCTCCCCCTTCTGCCTGGGGGGCCAACTTTTGGACGGTGAGCAACTGAGTCCAGCTTGGAGAGTCCCGGCTGCGGCCTGGCACTCTGCCCTTATGGGGCAGCAGCCGGGGAAGTTTGTAGGGGACCAGAGGAGACCCAGTCTGCCGGCCTTTATTAAGAGTGGGAAGAGAGAATCGTCACGTCATGGGACTCAGCCCTGTAATGTTTTTACTGTGCACGGTAAGAGCAAAATGGTTGCTTGTCATTGATAGCAATTTTAAAACACTGCCACACTGTAAACAATTTGATCAGTTGTATAGGTTTGTGCAGCCAGAAGCCTAGGATCACATACTCTTAGGCTTTCTGTAGTCTGTCTGTCACTTTACGTTTCAACAAGTCAAATAACAAAGTTAACACGAGCACCGGTCCGAAATGGAAGTGATCAAAGTTGAGAAAGAACAAGAAATCCAGATGTCGAAGATGTTACCATGCATACATAGAAATTGTAAGCAAGTACACACAGTATATCAATACAACTGTAGTTGCATCATCTTGTACGCAGCTTGCTGGGTGAAAAACAGATTTGCGATTGCGTAACATGGGGAAGAGAAAGAGTTCTCTTTAAAGTATGCAGTATGTATTTTAACACTTGCTAACTTTACCTACTGTGTGCTAATAACACAAATGTCTCATGAAGCCATCCTTTGCTATCATACTCAACACAGGGTAATCCTTAAGATCGTCTGATGAATCTGTGTCTTTGACAGGTCAATTGTTATTTGTTGGGTTTGGTTTTCTGTCACTTGACAAAGTATGTGTTTTTGGGGAAATACTACACAACAACTCATGACTTACTGTTTTTTACAAGGCAGCCTTTAATCAAGCATGTAATGCAAGATAAACTGTAACCACTATGGCAAACAAATGAGTTACTCTCAATTTGACGCATTAGTGAGATTCATTCAAACTCTGTAGTTGTGGCCTTTCAACCTAGCATTTAAAAACATATGTTGAACTGACTAACACTTAGACAAAGTGACATCAACTTGGATTATGAATCCTCTGGTCAGCCATCTTTTTGTCACATAGAAATAAACAGCAGCAATGGGACTCAAAAACATTTGAGCCCACAACACTTCATTAGAATTGTATTGATAAAATCCTTTAATGTATTTGGGACAGTTGATGCAACTGTCAAAATCAATGTAAAAAACGAAAGAGTTCTTCTGAGACTGTTCCATTATGGTGAAGGGTTATTATATACCAGGATGCCTGCAGACCATGTGGCCAGTATAACTGATGATTTGCACAGAGAGCGATCAGAGACAGCTTAAACCATAGTTGGATTAAAATTGTTCCCAGTCCTTACCCCTAGTCCGCAGTAACCCTGTCTTGATTGAAGGGCAGTTGGAGACATTCATTAAATAACACATCTACATCTATGTAGTAAAGCAACTTGTGTAGTGTGTGTGGTGGACCTCAACAGTGTTTCCTCATGTTTTTGCACAGGATGCTGAGTTGTGTGGTTCTACAGAGTGCTATATGATATTCTGCACTTGGCAGAGAATTTACAGTCTGTGTCCAAAATCATTCACCATTGACTGTATAGAGAATATATAGTAACTGTGTAGACCGTCGCGTCTTTAGCATTCTGTAGAGATTTTTAAATGTCTAGTGAGAATTATTATACCCTACAATAATCCCACAATGCAAAAGACAAAATAACAGGCCTAGTTGTCACTGTTTTGCACTGAATCTAGGGGGCCGTAAATTCACCTCATGGTCAGCACGGACACAAAGAAAACAGATTGTTTACACATGGTAGTCTACTGTTAAACAGGCAACACATGTGAAAAGGCAACATTGCAAAACATAATGAGAACAACCATCGCAATAACATCCATATAAAATATTGTAATAGAAAAAGCGATGACAACATGTGAGTCATAACATTCAGAATAATGAGTTTAGATAAGTGGTGGTACATTTTCAAAGATGTTCACGGAAAGGTTGTGTAATATATTTTCTCAAAACTGGATAGATTAAGGCATCAAATTTAAACTCCATGTTCTTCAAACTCAACTTTAGTAGATTCCTCTTTGCAGCAGTCTCCCTCCCCTCAAAGGATTGCTCTATAACTTAAATTCATGCAATGTCAAAATGGGAGATCAGTGAGGAGATGTACTACACATGTGGTGTTGCAATAAGTGAAATGTTTATGAAGTATTTTGTCACCTGTATTCAAATCTGAGAAATCAAATAACTGAACCAGCTGTTATATCGAAGGCTCACTTATAGGATAGTTTTAGAGAGTCCAAAAAAAGTGCATTCACTTTTAAGTATGCCCCAATAGAGCTGTAAAAACAATGTTGCCTATAAAATCCATCCCAAAAAAAACCCATTGATATATTATCATTCAAAGTCAATTTCTCCCTCACAAATCCTTCAGACTCATTGGAACTGAGCGTGTGGTATTTTGGTTGGATATTTTTTAATTGAGAAGGATAAAAACACAACAAGCTTAGATGGCTAAAAGACAAAAACAAATTCTGAAATTGATAGTAAATATGTGAATGATTTCAATCATAGTGTGATCACTGCTCTCCTCAGGGAGCCTCATTTGCCTCAGGGCAAGGCAGACATGCTGTTGTCACCTCATTGTGCTTTACAAAACACGGATGTCTTACCTGTTGAGGTTTCTCCCAGGCTTTGTGTATCTTTTAGTCCATGACCATATAAAGCAGTGTGTCTGTTACCTGGTTAGAACCCTTTGTTTCTTCTAAATCCCCATTTGATGACATTTTTACGGCAGTGCACAGAAAGCAGACCTTTGTAGCCTCAAACATAACCTTCAGAAAGCAGAAGTGAAATCATCATGTACACTTCTTGGTGTTACAGTCAGTGGTTTGTTATTTACTAGTTTTGGCGTATGAAAATACCTTTTGTAATGCTCTTTTAATTTATGGCCCAGAATAACACAATGTAACCAAGGTACAGGGAGGATTTGTTCTCAAACATAAATCTCACTAGAAATAATAGAAGTTTCTTACGCATCTATACCCATAAACCTTTGCTTGAATGATAATGTTATTAATATTAAGTTGGAGGCTGTCACAATGAAAACAAAATTCTGGATTTTTCCTCTAGTGTCATAAAAGCAAAACACAGCATATTAATGAATGCAGAAATCTTTTTCAATCAAACTCACTTCAGTTAAAAAATACATTTAAACAGTTGAGAGATAAAGCTGTTCTATCTTTTCAAAATGATCACTTGCCTTTGGAACAGATGCATGCCATGCATCCAGCTAAACTGATAAGTTTACCAAATGTGTCTGTATGGCTGTGATTGCCTTGGCAGGATTACTTTCCACTGACTCTAAAGTCTTGCATAACACAGAGGGGGACAGGACAGGGAAGGTCAGAAAAACAGAATAAAAGCTTTTGCCGGTAAGTGGATCGAATTTGGCAAAGGGTCAGTGACACGGGGCGTATTTGTCTTCCCTCTCTGCCCCTTTCCTCCTGCGATGAGCAGGTTAGACCATGAGAGGGGATGTGAGTCACAGTGCAAGAGGAGGGCAATATCAACACATGATTTTACATCTTTGTGTTTTTGTTTCATCCCGGTGAGCCCTAACTAGTTAAGAATCAGCCAGCAAGCGCCATGTAGCTTCTCCACAGGCAGGTTCAGACCTCTGCATGCAGCTGCCTGGAAGAGAGACACAGGCAGCTGAGGGCAAGCAAAGACCTGTCTCTGTTCTTGGAACCTCTGTGTACTGTACAGTGGGGAGGTATGAGCTCACTGGCTAGCTAGCACACATTGTAAGGACTGAGCAGGGTAGTGAATATCAGGAACCATTGCTATCTGATAATGGAGCATGCTCTTAAATTCAGCAACTTGCTATTTGATGGATTAAGGACTAGATTATAAACGGCATGTTTAAAACATCTGACTTCAACAGTTGAAGGTAGTTGAACATTTCGTTCTAGACTTGTGTATGTGAATATGTAGTTACAACAATACATACTACTGACTACTGGTCCTTATCTTATTATCAGATTTTTTGCCATCCATCAATACTATATCTGTATATTTGTTTTCTTCTACATATGATCTCTGCCACATAACTTTATATATAAAAGAATAAACTTTCTAAATGGTGCATCTGGCATGGTAGGTTAGGATAAGCTTTACCTGAATATTATATCACTGATCTTTGTTGTTTCTCTAATTGAAGCAAAATCTTTAATACCTCCATCAAATATATGCTTCTCTTTTTCCACTTTGATTTATTAGGTTAACTATATAGGACAAAAATAGCTAACTGAAATGCTGCAGGAAGTGGAATTGCTTTGTAAAAGTGCTTTATGAAAGAATGAGGCATTTTATTTATTTTCCTGGCAGTTAAAGGGTGTGAAGGAAAGATAATCATTCACAACTGATTTATAGTATTTGACTGAATTAAAGGGAAAAAACGGCCCCCTGGTGGCTACATTTATTAATGTATATTAAAAATGTGTATGGTACACTGCAGCTGTAACAATGTTAAGAATACTTTTGTAAATGTTATGTGTTCTTATTAAGTCTCTTTGTATGGAATAATTAGTTCGGCTAGAATAAGACTACCAGGCCGGTGTGATTGGCGCACATGGTGAGAAATGTAGAAACAGACTTAACATATATTAAAGAAAAGCTGCATCTTTTACCATACCTTTCTTGCTCTGATTATGGTTTCATATTATATCACTGGTGTCTGACCAAATGGAAATTGACTTACAAGTGCTGCATTCTAACACAATGAGACTATAACACCCAAAGCAAACAAATTCCTGACAAGTTTCAGTAATATAACATCTAATGCAAACCATACAGCAAATTTCTCCGGTGCATTACGTCACTCTAGATCTTTAAGAATGTGGATTGCTCTGTTTATTCAGCCATTTTGTTCATTAAAATATGCCTTTGTATGAAGCTTAACCTATTATCTGTAAAACCCCCTGAAACTTCCATACTGCAAGAAAACAGTGACAGCTGGAGAGAGTGTGAAAGAGTTAAGCAGATGGCGGTTTTGGCATCTGATTGGCTACTGATTATCTTCGTTGTCTCAGATTTTATCTACAGGCAACTTTTTCTGATAGACTACAAAAAGAGTGCAGTGTCAACCTGTGGTCATCAGCCAGACGAGTTGGGTTGTAGAAAACTTTGAGGAAGCTTTGAGAAGTTGCTTCTTGTTTGGATAG